GCGCGTGAGGGGTGTGCCGACTTGGGTGGCGCGGACGCATGCGGGCTGCGCCGCTGAAACCTTCGGTCGGGGGCTCGTGTCCGTTTCCAGGCGAGTGCCAGGGCGGGGCACCAGCACCAGGCGTGCTCCGTGGTGGCCTCTCCGAGACCACACAGTGGGCAGACTCCGTAGATGCCCTGTCGGCCCTGAACGTTCACTTGGCCGTGGGCGTTCCGCCGGTCGGCCGCGTCAGCGCGAAGTTCTTCGGGGAGCAGCTCCGAGTCCAGGAGACGCCAGAGATCGGATTGGCCAGCCCATTGTCCGAGGCAGGTGTTGCACCACGCGCTGCCGGGGTCCTTGTGTCCTGCCGTGAGCCAGACCCTGTGCGCCGGTCTTCCGCAGCCGCACTGGTGCGGGAGACGATCGGCCGCTCCCCGTCTCCTAGCTGAACCGGGTAGCCCGTTGGCGAGAAATCGCAAGACGTGGTGGGCCTCAGTGAAGGAGGCGCAATGCTGGATCAGGGTCCATTCCGCCTTTCCGGTCTGTACCCAGCGCCTGGTCGGCTGGTGTCGCGAAACCATTTGCTGGTGCAGGGTCCGTGCAGCTGAGCCCATGCGGCCACGTAGACCACCCTGCCAAAGCAGCGGCTACGAATCCTGTGTGGCTCCTGCTACGCACGTACCAGGAGGTCGGCGGCTCTGGTGTCCGTGAGTACTCTGGAACCGGGCCTGAAGGGCCCCTGTCGTCTCACGAAGCTCGCGGCCCACTTGCTGAGCTTGTTCCACCTAGTCCTGGCCCGTTTCTGGGCCGGGAGAAGTCCCCAGACGTCACCCGGCGCGTGGGCCCTGGCGGCGATCGCCCTGGCGGTGGCGACAGGGCATTTCGGGCACCCAGGGACTTGGAAGAGGATGCCGAGACCAGTGAGCATGCTGTCTGGGATCCAGGAGGCACCCGCGAGGCCCGCGGCCACTCGCAGCTGGGCCCGGAGCGCGCGTTCCTGCAGCACGTCGGGTGCCATGTAGTGAGCTAGGCAGGGAATCAGCGAGACGAGGTAGGAGTTCCAGGCCAGGGCGGTGCGAGAGGGGGACATCCCCGCCAGGTGGAGGGCCCTGGCACGGTCGCGAATCCTAGGGAGCGGCTTGCCCCAAGTGCTGGCGACGAGCGCGTCTACCTGCCCGCGCGTAAGCTGCCCTCCTGCGGGGCGCCCCTCGCCCTCGGCGGCTCTGGAGACAACGTTGGCGCCGAGGCGTGGCCGCTGCGGAGCGACGGCGGAGGGCCAAGGGGGTGTGATCCATGAGCATCCTCCACCTCCTCCTCCTCCTGCTCCTCCTCCTCCTCCTCCTCCTCCTCCTCCTTCTCCTCCTCCTCCTCCTCCTCCTCTTCCTCCCTCCCTCCTCCTCCTCCTCCTCCTCCTCCTCCTCTTCCTCCTCCTCCTCCTCCTCCTCCTCCTCCTCGCTGGCACCAGGGCGGTCTTGAAGTTGCAGACGCAAGGCGCGCGCCAGGGGCGGCAGTCTTCGGCTGCGGCGGGGCCCCAAGGGCGCCATGGATCAAAGCCTGGATGAGGGCAGGGGGCAAGCCCTTGACGCACAGGTCGCTTCCCTGTCCTTCCAGGGTGACGGGTACCTCCGCCAGGGTTCTCGTCGCTCGGCGGTCGAAGGCCATGAGCACTCCTCTGCACTTGTGGGTCTCAACCAGGAGGCCGGCCACTTTGGCTAACCACGGGAGGGCGATGGCCGCGCGGATCGCCTGGCCCGCTGAGGCGAGGAGGACGGCGAGGTCGTCCACGTAGGTGGGGCTGGCATTTCCTGCGATGTCCGCCACGGCGTCTATGAGTGCGTCGTAGCCCATGCACCATAGAAGCGGTGAGGCGGTGCCGCCCAGACCGATGGAGCGAAATAGTCTTCGTACTCTGCTCTTATATTTGCTCTTGCAGGTCTGGATGCAGCGCTCGCTGAGAAGGAGTCCAGGGCGTGTAGGAGCCAGGACGGTAGCTGCCACTTGCGTAGTAGGCGTCCCACCCACTGGAGTGAGATCCTTTCGAAGGCCTTGCTCTGGTCGCAGAATATCACGGCTGTGCTGGGCGCTGCGCCCAGGAGCGCCTAAGCTTCCTGAGCGTAGCGTTGTACCGCGTCGTAGTGGCTTCCGAGGAGCTCCCGCCAACTGCCACCAGGGCCGGGATCCCAGGTGGTGTTGCGGCCTAGATGCTCGGCTACTGCGGCGATGTTGGGGCCGCACTGTCCCCCTTGCCTGGCGGCTTGGTGCTGGTTCAGCCGCGGCTCGACTGTGGGGCCGAGGCAGTCGGCGATGGTGGCCCCGTGCAGTCTGCGCATACACGTCGGGAGTTGCAGCGGACGCATGTCGTTGGGCCTCTCGGCTGCCGCCTTCATGCCTATCCATACCAGGAGGTCGACCGATCTGCCGATGACCGCGTCGACGAGGTCCGGGTGGATGTCTGCAGCATACCAGGCTTGGCCGAGAAGGCAGGCAACAAAGCGGGCGCCAGGGTGGTAGATCTCGCAGGGTTCTCCGTCCACGCCAGGCGCGCTGCCACTTGGCTCCAGGACCAGGGAGGCAAACTTTCCCCACTGCGGGCAGGGGCTGCCTGGGAAGCTCCCCAAGTCCTTCCCTTGGAAGTAGCGATCCAGAATGCGTGTCCCGGAGGAGGGCAGCGGAGGGGCTGTCTGCCAGATGGGGCTCCGGCTCCCCCAGAGGACCCTGTCGACGTCATCCGGCCTCGCATGCCACGCACCTAGTTCATCGCGTACGCCGAGGATGGCCTGCGTCTTAACGTAAATCTCACGCCCCGTTCTGTAGTGTGCTGCCAGGGTGGGACGGTCCGCGCTGGGGCCCCTCTGTGCCGGCGTCAGCCTGAAGGCGCGCCTTTGAGCAATGTCGCTGTCCCACTTGCGCAGCCAGGCTGCGGCTTGCCGTTGTGTGAGGTCGTCCCCGTTCCATCCGTATTCGGTGAGCCAGGCGGCCAGGGTGCCTACTGGTCTAGTGCTGTGGTCCGCGCGCGTCGCTGCGACCAGGAGGGCACCCGGAGAGCGTGTGGACTTACTGCGCTTTCATTTCCGCCACCAATCTTCGATGGCTGCGGATAAGGCGTGCCGTCCCAAGATCAGCAGGGCGGGGATGAGAGGAACTGTTATGTCGTTCACGTCGGCGGCCTGCGGCTGTGGTGGGTCATGCCTGGCCTCGCCGTCCCCGTCATCATTATCATGGTGCCGGTCAGGGGAGCTGCCTGGTGCTGCTGGCCTCACCCAGTCGCTAGGTTGAAGTAGGCGGGTAGGGTCGCGCCCCGGACGCAGAACATGCGTTCGAGGTAGGTGAACATATGCCTGAGCTCGGTACGAGCTTCCGAGGGGAGTGAGCGTATGTCGTGGGCCCGGATGGTGTTGTCGCGCCTGCGACGGCTGGCTCCCTCTGGCTCTAGGTAGAGGATAGCGTGGTCAGAAAGCGATGGTTTCCAGGCTTTGCGGACACTGTAGAGTCCCAGCTGCCGAGCGGGGCAAGCCAGGACATCAATCTGCGATTCGCTGTCAGCGTCAACCCTGGTGGGGCCGTTGGTGTGGGCAATGAACGAGCCTGCGCTGTTGAACAAGTCGGTAAGGGCCGCCACGTCTTCCGTCTCTCCGTCTCTGGGACAGTCGATCTGGAGATTGACATCTCCGCCCCAGAAGGTTGGAGTCTCATCCCAGGTTTCGATGGCTTGCTGGATAGCCGCGATGGTTTCCATTTTCCTGGAGGGGGGGGGTAAATTGAAGCAACTCGGCAAGTTTGCCCGTTTTCGTTCCAGAGTAGCGGACACGGCGCAGCCCAGGACCAGGTCGTCAGAGCTGACCAGGGTGATGCCGTGTGGGATCAGGATGGCCACTCCGCCCGCCAAGCCCCCGCCAGGGCCGGTGTAGGCCGGGGAGGCCACCAGGGTCCTGGCAGGGAGCATTGTGGCCCAGACGGCAGCTTCGTGCTCTGACCAGTGCGTCTCCTGCAGGAAGCCAATCCTGCCGTTGCTTGCCATCTGGGTTAACACGGCGTGGGGTTGTGCTCCTGAGATAGCGCGCGTTCCAGCAGGCCACGCGAGGCGCCCCACCGCTGCTGGCCACCGAGAGGGCGTTGACTAGGTCCCTCACGGTGAACGCGGCGCACAGGTCGGCCCACGTGGGGCTGTTCCAAAGCTCTCTGTGCAGCAAAGCCCAGAGGGACCAGGGGCGCCGCAAGCAGGAGCCAGAAAAAACACACAAAGGAATTTCACACAAAGGGTTTTGGCACCACCGACGCCACCTCGATCCCCGCATCCGTGCCAGGCACCCTCTCAACGACGCCCCCTTCCGGCGTAAAACAAATAAAACCCTTTGTGTTTATGTGATTTTCCTGTTCTGAGCAAGGTGCGAGTACAGTGTGGAGCCGAGGCTCTGTTAAGAGTGGTGCGGGCAAGCTGCCAGGCGCGCGTGCGGGCGCCCGGTGCCAGGGTTTGCCCTCGGGGCGACCCCAGGGCTCCCTTGGAGCGTCCCGAAGTCCTGTCTTGAGTCTAGGGGAGCGGCGGGCCGCCGGGAAAGAGGCCCTGTCCTTGTAGCGACCGTAAGACGTCGGCAGGGATGGGGGAGTCCCTGAGTGGCGCCGTGGCGCCCAAGGGCACTGTGCTGCGGCGAAGGCGCGAGCTGCCCTCCAGGCTGCCGGGGCTGGTGGGGATGCTTTTTAGCCAGCGGCCGCGGGCGGGCGCGCCGGCGGCGAGTCCAGTCAAAGCGGGGCACGCAGCGACGAATTAAACTAAAGCGACGAATTAGACTAACGCTGGTGGGGATACGCGAAGCGTCATCAATTCAACCTGGCAGGAGGTGCATCCAAACTTCTTGCGCAGAGATACTTGGATGGAAGCAGCGGGGCGCAAAACACACTCGCCCGAATCCAGGTTTTCGGCTGCCAGATCTTCCGACTGCAGTCCCGCTGTCGCCGAGATGAAGTCCTGGAAGCGCTGCTGAGCGGACTCTTCAACGTACTGGAAGAAACTCTGTCCATGAAGTTTACTCCTCATGTCTCTTCTCCCATCCTCCGCGCCCAGCAAACTCACCAGATGTGGGGAATGGGCGATGAACATCGTGGGCAGATGTGCAAATGGGCGTCGCAGAAAACACCGAACAACCTCTGAGCTGCACGAAACGCCCTGGACCCTCGGGAAGCCTTGAGGACGTCCTTCTCGCAAAATTCTGGATGACTGCGGCACTGCAGACAGGTGCACAAAGAACCAGCCGAGTAATGACGTGCTGGATCAAAACCGCCATGGCACGTTGTCCGTTCATGCGTAGCTGCTCGCACCGCTCCCAGGCAGAGAGGCGCATCACTGCAGAACGAGAAACACTCCATCTCACCGTCGTGCTGCCTTCGGGTGCCGGCAGCGCCATCCGCACCCGCACCGCGGCCCGGAGCGCGCCGAAGACGAGAGAGCTCTGCGCGTCTGCAAAGTACGGTCGCACTGCGAGGCTCAGCAGGAACACCTTGAACATGCACGTTGCGCCAAAGAGGGGTAAGCCATGTTAATGTTCGAAGCACTTCCAATACAGCGTCGCAGAGCGACGCCCGCAGAGGAATCATCACTCTGCAGACAAACCCCGAGTGGAAAGGACCTCCACGGCACGCATCAGTGCAAACCAACAGGGGCGAAGCTATGGCCGACAACGGGATCAGAGCCGCATCCATCACGCGCTGCACTCGCGCCACCCTTGTTGTGACGAAGGCATGACGTAGCACCTGTTCCTGGGAAAACGTGCTGTGGCCGGGCGGTTAGAACATCGATTTGAATGATGCCTTCCATGCGTCAAGCGAATCTGCAACACTTCCCCAAGAAATCAAGGCATCGGCAACAAAAACACATAGGCTGAAGGAGACGCACATACGAACGACGATGGTGGCATATAGTATTCTTGCTGCGCCGCCTCAAGGAAAGGCGACGAGGACACACCACCTCAAAAGGCAACACTGGCTCACCTGGGAGCTCTGAACTGCTTTCAGCGTCAACCAAGCCCGGTCGCACTCGACGGGTCGCCTGACAATTTGGGGCCGTCGAGCCCAATCATCCAACGGCTGTGCCACAATCGCTTGAACCCAAATCCATACGGATCTCTTCCTATACCCCTTCTTCCTGTCCGTCCTCCTGGACCTCTGGGGCGAAGTCTCAAGGGAGGCGGATGGGCAGATCAACAGATGGCCCGACGGGCCACGCGTGCACTTCGCCCGCTTCCGAACTCCAGCACCAGCAGCTCAGACCGTGCTGACAGCGAGTGCTCGTGCCGACCTGCATCAGAGACCCCGAGGGCGAAACTCGCTGGCCCAGCGGGCTGGGGGCGCGCGATGCCTGTTTTTGAAAAGGCGCGGGATCGCTGACTCTCTTGCTTCTCGGGGTCGCGCTGGGGCTAGCATCCTGCTTGCTGGGGGCGCCCTCCTACTTGATCGGTGCAGTATTTGCGCACGCTTATGAGGTCCTTCAGAACCTCTTGAGGTCGTCCAGGTTCTCTTTGAAGAACTTCGGGGTACCAAGGGGCTCGTCTGGGGATGCCGGAATTAAATTGGGGCGGTCTTGGAACATTCTCGACGACATGGTACCGTGTCGGACCATCTCGTGGACGCATTGGACCACATTATGGCTTGTTGGGAGCCTCCAGGGCCCTCTCAGAAATCTCTGGGGCCCATTTTGAAGCCATTTTCAGCTAACGCGTGGGAAGCACCCAAACATCCACGAGCACTGGAGTCGTGGTGCAGTTTAACAAGGGGTCCATGATGGAGCGCCGAACGCATCCCTTTCCAACAGGACATCCGATTGTGCCAAGGACCGCCGACAACAAACAATCGGCGCACAACAGCCATGGCAAGCTCCCTGAAGATCCCACGATAATGCTGAACGAGAACCAATTTGCATGGCCATTTGCGATACCGCTTGTCACCAGCCCCGCCCCCCCCTCTCCTGTCACACGCCAGGATTCGAGCCGGCGTCGTCTGGGAATGAACCCTTCTCAGACATTCCCAGACGGCGCAGGCGCCCCCCCCGCTCACGCCAGTTGTCGCCAGGGGATAAAACAACAACTGTACCTCATGGCGCCTGACAAAGAACTCAAGCCAATTCCAAGGGTCACGAGACCAACTGAAGGGCCCGACCGCAGGACATCGTACTCACTTCGTAACCCATCTGCGAGAGCGTCTTGACCACCTGCTTACGTGAAAGAAAATGTACCGCACGGACGTCTGGGGGCTCGCGCGAGCGCCGCGACGCGGAGCAGAACCCGCAGTGTAGAAGACGGCTGAGACAATTTGTGCCCGTCCGAATCGGACCGATAAGCAAGAGGCGGCGACCTGGCATGCACGGTCGTGAGGGAGAACTGTTCCAACCCGCGGGACGCCAGCTCGTCGTACAAAACAATATCTTGGGGGCCTCTTGGGGGCATTCTGGAACCTCTTGGCATTCGAAGGCATCTTGGGCCCTCTCTAGGCAGTCGTCGGTGGGCGCTTTCGGGCCGTCTTGGGGGCCTCTTCGAGCGTGCTGAATTTCAGGTTGGTTTGATACATTTTCAAAATGTGCCCACCGGCCTCCGGCCCAGCCCGCTAGCCACCAAGAAAAAGTGTACTCGGTGGAGTTTGCTTCCCAAAACGGCCCCCAAGTGGCCTCCAAGACGCCCAAGATGGCCTCCAAGACGGCAACAATGGCCCAAGATGGCCTCCAAGACGGTCTCAATAAGACGGTCCCAAGACGCCCAAGACGGTCACCAGATAACCCAAGATGCCCGCCAGACGACCCAAGAGGCCCCCAAGAGGCCCAACGAGGGCTCTCCAAGAGGACCTCCAGGAGGCCAAATCCCGCCAGCCCTCCGGGCGTAGGTAATCTAAAGAGGCTCCTCTTCCAACCGCCACTTTGGAGCAAAGTCCTGATGTTCGTGAAGCCCGCGAGCGCTTTGTATTGTTTTTGACAGGGCCGGCAGCGGTGTCAGCATATTGCCTGCTGTGCGCAGGGCTACCACCCCTTACCCAAAAAACCATACAAAATGCACCTCGCGCCTGGATCATGCGCGACCAACCCGCGATCACTGTCAAGGGACGGCGGGGGTGATGGCGTATGGCCTGCTGCGCGCAGGCCCACCAGACACCACGATGGGCACCGCTTTGCGACAGGGATGGTGGGGGCCGACGTGCTTCCCGATGTGTGCCGTCACGCGCGCGGGCGCTCCTGCCACACTCTGCACGTGCCCCGACCGTGGCGCACCTGGCGCGGCTGGAGCATGCGGCACACCTCGCGCGCCTGGCACGCGCGGCGCGCCTCGCGCCAGCGTCGCGAACACGGGGTCGGTGTTGGTTCCAGCAGCTGCCCATCCAAAAACGAGTCGCTGAGCATGCTGAGGCTCGGGTGTTGCTTCTGTGTTGAGAGGGCAGGTGGGAGTAGGCTAGACGGCTTGCTATCCAGGGGGTGTCTTGACCCCTCCTCCCCTACCCCCTCCCCTGGACCTGGACGGGGGGGGAAGGCGAGGCGTTGGAGCGTCCAGGATGGCCTTAGACGGCTCCAAGAGGGCCCCTGAGAGTCCCAGATGAGCTCCAGGATGGCTCAAGACAACGCACGATGCCTCAAGTCGGCTCCAAAGATGCTCCAAGAGGCCCCAAGAACAAAAAACCTAAGGACAATCAATGAGTTGTGCTTTCTCGCCTGTTCGCTTCCGATGGCAATCCGAGACCTCAAGATGGCTCCAAGACGGCACAAGAGGGCCCCAGGAGAGACCCAAGGGAGCCCCAAGACGGCTCCAAGAGCGCCCAAGAGCGCTCCAAGAGCGCCCCAAGAGCGCCCCAAGAGGCAGCGATCGGGGCTCCCAAGGGGGGGGGAGCAAATTAGGAACCCCATCTTCTGTGATCCTCGAAGATGGCTCCAAGAGCGCTCCTGAGACTGCCAAGAGCGCCCCAAGATGGCCCCAAGAGGCGCCCAGACGGTCCCAAGAGGCGCCCAAGTTGCCCAAAGAGGCTCCCAAGAGGCCCCCAAGAGGCTTCAAGAGGAACCCCGAGGCACCCAAGACGCTCAAAGACGGCCTTGGGATCTTCTCCTCCACCTCCTCCTCCTCCTTGTCCACTGTCTCTTCCTCCTTCCTCCTCTTCACCTTCCTCCTCCTTCTCCTCCTCATTCTTCTCCACCATCCTCCCCCTCTTGGGATATCGGACGGCTGCCTACCCGCCATGTGTTCTTCTGCATGCTCCCCCACTTCCCTGGTCACCTCAACTCCCGCGGGCCTCGTTTCTGGATGGGCTGGTGGGGATACGCGAGGCGTCATCAATTTCAAGATGGTCAACCCCACTGTTGTCCACGCTTCCTTCGCCAGGGATGGGGACGATGGGATGGACAAGGAGGACGCGGAGGAGCAGGAGGATGAGGAGGAGAAGGAGGAAAGAAGGGGCTGGAAGAGCAGGGAGTAGAAGAGACGGCCGAACCCGCAGACGAGGTGCAGAAGGATCGTGGGGGACCTAAGAGGCGGACAAAGAGAGGCGCACGAGACGACGAGGACGAGGACGACGAGAACGCGGCGGCGCGAGGACGAGAAGGACGAGAACACCTGCCGCGGACGAGGACGAGGACGAGGAGCAGGGAGCGCAGGTCGCAGAGGACGCGGCCGAGGCCTGCGTGCTGAGCGCCCCGCGAGGCAGCAGCAGCGCCGCGCCGGCAGTGCCCAGCCCCAGCAGCACCACCAGCGCCGCCAGCGCCGGCCGCGGCGGCGGCGGCGGCGGCCGGCACGCGCACGGCGCGCTTCCCGCGCGAGCGGGCGCGCGGCGAGAGGGCACCGCCATGGCGGCGGGGGTGCGCAGGAGGTTATACGGTGGAGCACTGGATCAGGAATTCGTCGGATACGAACGATGAACCCCAAAAAAGGACCCCTTAACCCTTTGGGGGGGACCTGTCTTGGGAGGGCCAGAACATTAATTAGTGATAGGGGGTCCTTTCTGCACATGTGCGGGACCAAGCCGCACAGAAGTATGATCCCTACTGCGAAGGCGGGGACCTCGGTGAGGCCACGTCTTCATCGTGTCTTAGGGTCACGGGTTCTGTTGCTCTCGATGGAAGGAACCCAGACAGGCGACGTCCTGATTTTGTTCCATACGGGGCCCCTGGAAGTCCCGACCCTTTCCCCCAGACCAGCTTTTCGTCCCGAATCGTTTTGTTGACGGTCCCGAGGCCCGGCGAGGGCACCCCGAGGCCGAAAACGGTCCAAAAGCCTCCCGTTGTGATTTCTTACGACGCGATCGTGCCTGGGAACCCGGGGGCCTGGACGCGCCGTGTCTGGGCTGCGCGCCGATCTCTTCGCCGCGCCGGCCGCAAAATCATGACGGGAGGTTCTTTCTAATTTTCGGCCTCCAGGGTCCCTCACCAGGCCTCGGGACCGTCAAAAAACGACTCAGGATGAAAAACCGGTCCTGGGGAAGGGGTCCAGACCTCTGGGGGTCGACGTTGTGAAAAAATCATGACGTCGGGGGTCTGGGGCGGGTGGGGCCGCGAGGAACGCCTGCCCCAGACCCCCGACGTCGTGATTTTTTCACGACGCGACCCCCAGAGGCCTGGACCCCTTCCCCGGGACCGCTTTTTCGTTCTGAGTCGCTTTTTGACGGCCCCGAGGCCCGGCGAGGGCCCCCGGAGGCTGAGAATAGCGAAAAACCTCCGTCGTGATTTTTCACGACGCGAGGAGGTCTGGGGTTGCTTCCCCTCTCCTCCTCGTCCTTGCCTCCCTCCCCTTCCTCCTGCTCCCTGCCTGCTGCCTCTCCGCCCGCGCGGCCGCCTTTCCGCCTGCCCGCCCGCCCTGCCGGCCCCGGCCGCCCGCCTGCGCTGCGCGCTCGTCGCTCCCAGACACCCGATGTCATGACTTGCTCAGAACCCAGACCTCCTCGCGTCGTGAAAAAAACACGACGGAGGTTTTTCGCTATTTTCGGCCTCCGGGGGCCCTTCCCGGGCCTCGGGGCCGTCAAAAAACGACTCAGGATGAAAAACCGGTCCTGGGGAAGGGGTCCAGACCTCTGGGGGTCGACGTTGTGAAAAAATCATGACGTCGGGGGTTTGGGGCGGGTGGGGCCGCGAGGAACGCCTGCCCCAGACCCCCGACGTCGTGATTTTTTCACGACGCGACCCCCAGAGGCCTGGACCCCTTCCCCGGGACCGCTTTTTCGTTCTGAGTCGCTTTTTGACGGCCCAGAGGCCCAGGAAGGGCCCCCGGAGGCCGAGAATAGCGAAAAACCTCCGTCGTGATTTTTCACGCGAGGAGGTCTGGGGTTGCTTCCCCTCTCCTCCTCGTCCTTGCCTCCCTCCCCTTCCTCCTGCTCCCTGCCTGCTGCCTCTCCGCCCGCGCGGCCGCCTTTCCGCCTGCCCGCCCGCCCTGCCGGCCCCGGCCGCCCGCCTGCGCTGCGCGCTCGTCGCTCCCAGACACCCGATGTCATGACTTGCTCAGAACCCAGACCTCCTCGCGTCGTGAAAAAAACACGACGGAGGTTTTTCGCTATTTTCGGCCTCCGGGGGCCCTTCCTGGGCCTCGGGGCCGTCAAAAAACGACTCAGGACGAAAAACCGGTCCCGGGGAATGGGTCGGGACCTCTGGGGGTCGCGTCATGAAAAAATCATGACGTCGGGGGTCTGGGAACGTCGACCCCCAGATGTCTCTCGGGGATCTTCTGACCCGGGTCAATCCAGACCCAGGCCAGCAGGAAACCCAAAACTGCCATGCAGGAAGGAAAAAAAACAACTGCAACGCTGGTCTTCGCAAACCCAGGTCAGCCAATACGGGCGGGCGCCTCGCGGCCACGAGCGGCTCGCTAACCCGGGTCAGCCAGAAGGGGTCTTCGCAGGATCCTGCAGGATCCGGTGCCCTGGCTGACCCCCGTCTGCATTGACCCCCGTCTCAAGGCTCCTGAGCCTCGGCCCATTCCCCTGGACCGGCCTTTCATTCCGAGTCGTTCTTTGACGGCTACCGAGGCCCGGCAAGGGCCCCCCGGAGGCCGAAAATAGCGAAAAAACTCCCGTCGCGATTTTCGCCAACCATCCTGTGGTGTTGGGTCCTCGTTTGGAAGAGACGGTCCCCGCGTCCTCCTCCTCCTCCTCCTCCTCCTCCTCCTCCTCCCCTCCTTTCCTCCTCCTCTCCTCCTCCTCCTCATCCTCCTCCTCCTCCTCCACTCTCCTCCTCCTCCGAGGGCCCGGTTGGGGCCCCCGGAGGCCCGAAGGACCCGAAAAACCCGCCCGTCGTGCAAACCCCCTAACAGCGACGTGTGTAAGCATATCTGGAAGCATTCCCCTTAAGATTCAGGTGAGAATCCAGTTGTAGAATTCTTCTGTTCTCGCAGTCGCAGTCGCATTCGCAATGACAGTCGCAGTGGCAACGGCCTTAGGATCCAATGGAATCCTAAGGATTCCTAGGGATTCCTAAGGCATCCTTAGGCATCCTTAGGAATCCATAGGAATCCTTAGGAAATCTCAGGAATCCTTAGGAATCCTGATTCCGAGGGATTCCTAGGGATTCCTCAGGATTCCTAGGGATTCCTGAGGATGCTTAACTATGCCTACGGATTCCTAAGGATGCCTACGGATTCCTAAGGATTGCTAGGGATTCCTAAGGATTCCTATGGATTCCTACGGATGCCTCAGCCTGCCTCAGTTTCAGCCTCAGCCTCAGCCTGCCTCGGCTTGCCTCAGCCTTAGCCTCAGCCTGCCTCGGCCTCAGCCTCAGCCTGCCTCAGCCTCAACCTCAGTCGGCCTCAGCCTGCGTCAGCCTCAGCCTCAGCCTGCCTCAGCCTCAGCCTGCCTCAGCCTCCCCTCCTCCCCCCCCCCTTCCCCCCCCCATTCAGCCTCACCTTGTCTCAGCTTCGGCCTGCCTCGGCCTCATCCTCAGCCTCAGCCTCAGTCTCAGCCTCAGCCTGTCTCGGCCTGAGCCTGCCTCGGCCTCAGCCTCAGCCTGCCTCAGCCTCAGCCTGCCTCAGCCTCAGCCTCAGCCTGCTTCAGCCTCAGCATCAGTCTGCCTTCAGCCTCGGCCTCAGCCTCAGCATGCCTCAGCCTCAGCCTGCATCAGCCTCAGCCTCAGCCTCAGCCTGCCTCAGCATCAGCCTGCTTCAGCCTCAGCCTCAGCCTACCTCAGCCTCAGCCTCAGTCTGCTTCAGCCTCAGCCTCAGTCTGCCTTCAGCCTCGGCCTCAGCCTCAGCCTGCCTCAGCCTGAGCCTGCCTCAGCCTCAGCCTCAGCCTCAGCCTGCCTCAGCCTCAGCCTGCCCAGCCTCAGCCTCAGCCTCAGCCTGCCTCAGCCTCCAGTCTCCAGCTGCCTCAGGCCTCAGCTTGCCTCAGCTCAGCCTCAGCCTGCTGCCTCAGCCTCAGCCTGCCTCAGCCTCAGCCTCAGCCTGCCTCGGCCTCAGCCTGCGTCAGCCTCAGCCTCATCCTGCCTCAGCCTCAGCCTGCCTCAGCCTCAGCCTCAGCCTGCCTCGGCGTGCCTCAGCCTCAGCCTCAGCCTGCCTCGGCCTCAGCCTGCCTCGGCCTCAGCCTGCCTCAGCTCGGGCATTCAAAATATGGCACAGGACTGGTGTCTTGGGAACACGAAGATCACGAAGTGGCACACAGTTGGCTCTGGGCAATCAAAATATGGTACAGGAGTGGTTTCTGAGAGCACGGAGAACACGAAGTGGCCTACAGTTGGCTCTGGGCATTCAAAATGTGGCCTGGGAATGGTGTTCTGGAAACACGAAGAATACGAAGTGGCCTACAGTTGGCTCCGGGCATTCAAAATGTGACATGGGAATGGTGTTCTGGGAACACGAAGAACACGAAGTGGCCAACAGGTGGCTCCGGGCATTCAAAATGTGGCCTGGGAATGGTGTTCTGGGAACACGAAGAACACGAAGTGGCCTACACATGTGGCTCTGGGCATTCAAAATGTGACATGGGAATTGTGTTCTGTTGGCTCTGGGCAGTCAAAATGTAGCTCCTGGCAATCAAAATGGAGAGTCCCCGGTTTTCCCCGGCATCCCCCGGATCCTGCCCAGACCCCCTGGGGAGTCAAGATGCTCTCTGTTGACCCCACTAGAAACCTATCAGTCTTCGCTGTTAGGTAAAATACTCCCAAATGGTAACAAAAATACCCCAAAAAGTCCCCATACTATTTTTTAGCTATGTTTGAATATTCCTCCTGTAGGGGGACAGGCCCGACTTAACTCTACAGTCGGGGCGTTGACCCAAGGAACCCTGAACAAGGGGCCAGCGAGGCCCCCTGTTTCCATGAGTTAGACTTCGCCTACCCATCGACAACCGAAGGGAAGTCCAAGGCGAACTGTAAAACAGCCAAGGGAATCGAACTCTATACACCGACGCTTCCTCCGGCCCTGCATTGGAATCCACACTGGAACGCGGATCCTGGTGTATACGGGACCCTATTTTTCGGCGCTCTCCCGGGACACCGGAGAAAAAGGTATACACCACACCACCCCAGCGCCGTCCTCGATCCTCAGGAGGAGGAGGAGGAGGAGGAGGAGGAGGAGGAGGAGTTGGAGGAGGAGGAGGAGGAGGAGGAGGAGGTTGGAAGGGGAGGGAGGAGGAGGAGGAAGAGAGAGGAGGAAAGAGTAAGAGAAAGAGAAGAGAGAAGAGGAGGAGGAGGAGGAGGAGGAGGAGGAGGAGGAAGAGGAAGAGGAAGAGGAGGATGAAGAGGAGGAGGAGGAGGAGGAAGTCCAGGGATCGAAAAACAGCCCGACACTGGCAGTGCACATGCTCCAGCTTCCGACATAGAGGAGCACCGAGGGCCCCTCCCAGACGAAAAAGAGGCCCTCTCCGCGCTCCGA